CCTTACAGAAAAATTGATCTTCTCTGCCTAAAAGTCATCAAAAAATAACTTTAAATAAAGTTCAAGGATCAAAAGCTTCATGTCTTAGCTTAAGTGAAATTTATTTATCGTAAGCTAGTGTTCAAAATCAGCGTAGTATAGTAGAAAAACACAAACTTAAGTCGACAACTAAGGATATTGATGAAACACCTCAGCAAACTCAGTACGATCTGGGCAGAACTTGTGTCTCTTTCTCCTCGTAATGTTCTTTTGCATGTGTATATCGTAGCTACTTCAAAAAAGAAATCGATATTTTTGTTCATTAATATTTTTGGGTTTTTTAACATTTTTAATGCTACTCGTTTTCAATGAGTAAAAGATATTTTCGTTTTACATGCAGATGACTTAAACAAATAAGATGATCTATGAACAGACATCGCGTTTAATACAAAGGAGATTTATTGACTGAACTCTATGATAAATTTTGAAAACTGGTGTAAAGTGAAGTTCATCTCTTTGAGAATTAATTCAACCCTCACAGCGGTTATACTCGGCACGACTTGTTAGTATGCCAATGATGTATTCATGTAAACAATATGTTTGTAAACCTGCAGCAAGATTCGTGAGTCACCTTAATCTTTATATTATAGCTCATCCAGCTAAATAACAAGTGTTAGGAAAAAGGCATGAACGCTCAAAAAAGGCAAGAAAAGCAGCATTAAGTCGATCATAAATTCAGTGGGAATACTAAAAGAGAATTTTTATTGTAAATAGCTACATGCTACATTTTTGGTGATAAAACAAATTTAATAGTCAAACAATAGATATAGCTTAACCTCGTTCTTCAAAAACCGTGCACAAAAATGACAAAAGGCTTTTTTGTGCACGGAAGCAAACAGCAAACCGTGCATAACTCTGGAAAAAACTGTGCTCAGAAAAATCCTCGTCCTTGAATATGACTCTCTTTAGTGATATATCATTTCTGTTCATATGCTGTCAGTCTATATATACGAAAAATGTGTCAACTAGATGAGTCAGTGCCGCATTAAGTCGCAAAGTATATCTCATAAAAACTGTTCCAACGAAAGTTGTTCACAATGAAATTCTGCGTGGAATAAGCAGAACAGATTGGTTTCCGAATGAAAAACTCTAAAAAATTATTAATTAAAAAATTTCTAAATTGAAAATTGTTTAGTTTTCATTTAACGTCTGTTCGAAGTTGTATAAACCTTACCCTATTTTCTTTAAATTTGGTTTAGCGCGGTAAAAGCACCTAATTTTCTAACATTTTGTAAAGTCCATCAGACTATTTACTCAGTCTTTTGGACTCGGACGGGACTGTCAATTTAGTCACCCGTAATCCGTTATTATTTCGTGAACGTAATTTGTTTTACATAATTAGATTCTTTTAGTCCACGGACTGGACTGGACTGGACTGGACTGGACGCGACTGGACTCAAAAAGCGGAGTCCTTAAGACTTAATGCGGGATTAACTGATCAAGTTGACGGATTATGCACTAAATTCACAGTGATAGATAGGACGTTTCGTTCATTAAAACGGAAACGTTCTTATATCTTTTAGAACTACCAGAAATATGTTCGCAGTTCGCGCTTTTTTAATGTTTACTATGTATGAAGTTGAGAGTATTTCAGAAGAAACAAAAGATTTACCAGGTGCTCGTAGAATTGGATTCGCGAAAATTATATGTTCTTGTTTATATAGATGTTACTTATTTTCTTTATCTAACAGTGTGTGCCAGTGTATTTTTCACTCAGGTTCCACTCTCTAGAATCAGTCTTCACTCTAAATCATATAAAATAAATATTGTGTTTCATAAGAGATATATAATCATGTTTATGATACAAGTTTTCTAAGTACAAATAAAAAGAATCAAGAGAAGCCGTTTTCTTCTTCTTTTCCTCTTCTCCTACTAACGATAGGAATATTTGTTTAGTAAGTCAATATTTTCTCCTTTCTTGCGATTACTATAAATATTTCACGTAGTTGGAAAAAACCTTGAGCGAGACTTCTCTTTTCTTTACTGGGAATTTTTCCAACTGTAAGTCAAGGAGTTGTTGTGAAAGATTGCCAAAATGCCGTTTCACTCTTGGTTTCAAGAGAAAAACTTCATCGTCCAACTCTGTTATATGTATGATATACGTTCAGTAAAACGTATACGTTATAAATGAAAGGACCTTGACGTAAAACTTAAACTAGGAGGTATATACGATATACCATTTTTGGATGTTTTAACAGCAATTGACAAAATAAACAAAAAATTTACAACCAGCTGGTTTCGAAAAGAAACAGTATCAAATCACTTTTGAATTTTCATTCGAATCACAACTCAGCAATCAGAAATAATATCGTTAAAAATATGACAAATCGTGTTTTAGCAGCCAACAATGGCCACAAAAATGAAAATGATTTGCAAAAAGTTTTAGAAAATAGTCAGTTTCCAAAAAATATTAAAAATAGAATCAAGAAAGAAGTTAATGATAATTTAAGTAGAAGTAATAATGTTAACAATAATCAACAGTGTTCTGGTATAGTTGTGATTCCTCATCTGAATGGTATCACCGAACGTTTGAAAAGAGATTTAAAAAAACATCAAATTATAACATTTACACAACACTCTAAAAGTATTGGTTCTATTTTAAATAAAACTAAATTAATTGCACGCAATAAGCTTGGTGCTAAGAAGAAAGATTCTACAGTTTTTGCTCAAAATGCTATTTATGGTATATCAGGCAAATGTGGATGCATCTATGTCGGAGAAACGGAAGATTTTGAAAGACGTCACAAACAACATATGAGTAATGTCAAATATCATCGTGTTAATGAGTCAGAAATAGTTCAACATTTGTTAGTTAGTAATAGTAATTGCAATATAATATATTTTAAGGGTAAATTCTGTTTTCAATGCATGCATCTTAACAAAAAATTCGTTCGATGAAATCCTTTTCTTCATGTGGCTTGGTGATTAGTAATCATTATTATTCAGCTTACGGTGTTCCTCAGTTTGAAAGGATAAGTATTCGTAAGTGAGCTTTTTGCGTTTTAACCGCACCTTACTTCTTTCTTTTCATAACCGAATTTTAATTTTTTTCGGGTATGTCTAAAAAATCTGTAAAGGTTCCTGTTGATGTATTACAAAACGAGTCCCTACAAAATTACAGGGCTATGACGGACATTCACGCAAGAGCTTTGAATGTTTTAAAAGCGAATAAACCAACTGCCAGTCAAGTTGTTGTGAAAGCTTGCCAAAATGCCGTTTCACTCTTGGTTTCAAGACAAAAACTTCATCGTCCAACTCTTTTATCCGTTTATATACTCTCCATATCTGTTTCATCGGATAATGATAATAACAGAACGCCTTTACCTCCATCCGTTACTATTCCATTAGATTTCATTCAAAATATAGTACCCGATGCTCCTGTTTTAGAAGAACATAACACCAAAAAGTCTTCCGCAAGACATATCAAAATTTGATGGTTTTTTTCTAGAGATGCGTCAACCGAGATTTTTGCATATTCAGAATCAGCGCGACGAGTTACGTTGTACGGCGCAAAGATCTCGTTGGGACCCCCTCCATTTTTTGGATCCGGTGGCTCCGTTGGAGGTTTTCACGGTATATTACACTATATTTAGCTGTAGACATCAAACACACTGCGTTCACTTTTCTTTCCTTTGATCTTACTTTTCTTCCGTCCCATATTTTTTTCTTATGTGCGCGTGTATATGTGCACAGAATTTCATTTCTCTTTATAGAAAAGAACAAACTTTCTATTTTAATCTATATATTCATTTATTACATGTCTAAAAGAATACGTTTTACTGAACGTATATCATCGATGAACGGTTCATCGATGATATACGTTCAGTAAAACGTATACGTTATAAATCAAAAAAACCTTGACGTAAAAATTAAACTAGGAGGTGATTTAATGAATGCAATGTATGTCTTTGGCCTCGCTGGATTTGCTTTAAATTATTCCTGCGTGTTCTGCATCCGGCATAAAGATGATCTTCACATCTTCACATCAAACTGAAGCAACTGCTTATGATAATTCTGTCACAGAAGGCACGGGCAAAATAAAGTGACAAAAACAGTTAGAATTAGTGCCACATCGTTTCATGATGTAACTAAATTAGCTCGTTCATATCAACCTATAGGCGCTTTTTTTAATAATCATAATTTTTTTTCAGAAAATCTTTGTTATCGCGCAATCGGTGGCAAGGTTTTCAAAATTACTTTTTATGCTTAAAACGGGAAAAAACACGCTTTTTACAATGTTTCACTTGAAAAACCTATCTCGTTCGAAAAATTAGGAGGTTATTTAATGAACGCAGTCTAGACTAGTGATCGGACATATAATTATTTTACAATACCATCGAAATCGAAAGTTTAATTAAAAATTAAACTCAATTAATTAATAACTGTAAATGGTTATCAGTTCATCGAAAAAACTAAAGGATATATATACAGAAGGAGGAGACATTGGTGTAAGATGTCCTGGTTTCTCCTGTCCACTATGATTAAATTGTTTATCACACTACACAAGATTTGACAATATGATGAGATTTGATACAAGATTGACAATATGCATCGATGAATTCTTTCATGTGTGATTTATTTATATATTCATCCATATTTATATACATGTTCTTGTTTATATAGATGTCACGTATTTTCTTTATCTAAAAGTGTGTGTCACTGCATTTTTCACTCAGGTTTCAGTCTCTAGAATAAGTCTTTACTCTAAATCAATAGTCATAAGTTCTATATTGTGTTTCATAGAGATATATAATCATGTTTATGATACAAGTTTTCTAAGTACAAATAAAAAGAATCAAATTGAAAAGATCAAGAGAAGCCATTTCGCGATATAATTATTTCAAGTAGTTGGAAAAAACCTGGAGTGAGACTTCTCTTTCTTTTACTGGGAATTTTTCCTTTTCGTTTTTTTCGTATATTGCATCGAGATGGAAAAATCTAATCAAACTTTGTTGTCTTTATATCAAGGTAATACGAGAAAAAACGATGCGTTCTAGCTGACTCTGCGTAAGAAATATAAAGTTTATTTCGCTTCTCCCTGTCTTGATAAATCTATAGAAAAATGAAAACGTCTTTGTGTGTTTAATTCGAAGTAGTCGCCTCCAATAAATCTAGCATAACGCTGCAGGACTTAGAGGTATCAGGAATGGCAAGCTGTAGATGGCCAGTTTGAAAGTGGTTTTGTATCTAGGATTTCCCATGATGCTTCTCTTTCAAGTTGTGAATACTCATTGATACGTTCGACACTAATAATATTAGTTTCAATATCAGATGTCATACGAACTATCAAGTTTCTGCTATGAGTTTGTGTTTCAGATATAAGAAAAACGAAAACAAGCAAATCAACATGTGCGCCGACCGCCTACCCAGGTGTGATCCTCAACAGAATGCCATACGGACAGAGGAAATGGTTCGACTCGGAAATAAGCTTGCCCAACCCACGCGCACATACATCACACGTCGTGACCGTGATGTAATCGGATTTGCCTTGCAAGACTTCCAAAAGATCCTGCATGAAATTGGGAGGCCTGATACTTTAACTGCTACGCAGGAGGTTACGTTGATGGCACAAAAACTCAAAGGCAAGTACAACACTCTGTTCCAACGTGTCTGCAATTTAGTTGGAAATATTGACAATGTTAACATCGAAGATATTGAAATCAGTATGAACTCGGGCGAGGTCGACGTCGATAACATTTAAAAGAAATTTGATGGCTGTTCCTTTTTATTGTGACCTTGATGCTGTTCACTGCTTATCTAAGAGTAAAGAGAGAGAATTTTCAATAAATATTTGACTACAAGAGCAAAGCACCTTTTAAAATGAAATGCAGACCTTTCATTTGTTAATGGCAGAAGTCTCTAAATAAATCAGAAGATAGCAGTGACTTCGATGAAAATACTTACTTATTTCGATGTTTCGGCTGTCTATGGGGCCATTTTCACGAGACCTTTTTCAGTTTCCGGTAGCTCAGAAGTATCTGGTACAGTCTAAGGTCCTTACACTTAGAAAACTTGTATCATAAACATGATTATATATCTCTTATGAAACACAATATAGAACTTATGACTATTGATTTAGAGTAAAGACTTATTCTAGAGACTGGAACCTGAGTGAAAAATGGAGTGACACACACTTTTAGATAAAGGAAATAAGTGACATAAAAATAGCACGGAGCTTGAAATGGGAAAAGTGGTTCGAAATGTGACACAGATAATGTAAAGCTCAGTCGAAGAAAGATCCATTCTTATTAGAAGATAATGTATTTTACAAGTTACAATCTAGAGACGGTGGAAAATCGACGTAAAAGTCAGTTTATCTAATTGATTCCAAAATCGATGAGAGAGTGTGCTCTACGTTCCTAAGCAGAACGGAATTTCAAGAAAAAAGTTTGAACAGAAGATAAATGAAAATTAAACCATTTTCAATTTTCGATTTCGTTATCATAACGAATTACGTACACGACATAATAACGGATTGCGGGTGACTCAGAAAATTGACAGTCCGGTCCGAGTCCAATAGACTGAGGAAATAGTCGGATGGATTTTACAAACCGTTAGAAAATTAGGTGCTTTTACCGCGCTGAACCAAATTTAATGAAAATAAGGTAAGGTTTAAACAACTTCGAACAGAAGTTAAATGAAAACTAAACAATTTTCAATTTAGAAATTTTTTAATTAAGAAGTTTTTAAAGTTTTTTCATTAGAAAACAAAACTGCTCCAGTCAAAATAACTGGTCCAGTTCACATGGACTGGATCCTCAATAACAACATCTTTTTAATCAATCAATTCAGTCAGGCATTTATCCTTCTCGATGGAAAGCGTTAATTGGTAAACCCATTTTTTAAGAAACGGGATAGATCAGGAGTTGAGAATGACCGTCCAATATCTCTGCTGTCTAACATTAGACATCTCTCTAATCAGAGAGATTAGTTTTCGATCATCTAGTTCTCCGCAGATAGTGTACTATAATCTCACCAACTGCATAAGATAGAGCAGGGGGGATGTTTGTATATGCTTACCAATGATTTATTTTGAGTTCGGGTGTGTGTGCATGGCTTACCAAGGAATTATCTTAGTGATGGAAAAATGTATCCGGATAACACCCAGATACAACAATATTCGCAATTACAGACAAACATGTCTTTTAATTTGACTGTCTCGCCAACCATTTCGATTTTAAATTACGACGCTGTCGTAACACCGGCTATTCTGTCGAAATTTATGAGACAGCCTGGTTCGTCAGCACCAGAACCACCACTATTAAGCAATATCGAAAATAGGAATGATCATCTTGCGGTGACATCAAATTCGCAACCTTCAGCATGGCCCTAAAGGCCATCGAATGTAAAACGAGTTCGATTAGATAATCAACAAACATTTGCATATCCACTAAGTAC